TAGAAGAAGGATGGGTTGGGCTCTGGAAAAAAAGGGACTTATACAGTAAGAAGTTTTTGGGCGTGGTGGGACCAATATAGGCTTCATTGCTAAATGACCAATCAGTTTCGCGTCGGACCCAAAAATCAAAAAATGCTCAGAACCCTGTCATGATTATACTCATTTGAACCGTCTGGACTTGCTGATTCTAATGGTATTGGTTTCAGGTCAGAGGAAGCGAAAATCAGCGAGTTACGGTAGTATTTGTGTTTTCGCGTCGAGACCCGAATTTTCAAAATTTTTTCAAACCTAGTCATGATTATACTCGTTCGAACCGTCTCAACTCGCTGATTCTGACTGTACAATTCGCGTTGAACTCAGATCAAAACCGAGATACAGTAGTTTTTGTGTTTTCGCGTCGAGACCCAAAATACAAAACCTACCGTAACCCTCTCAAAGGGTTTCAAACTCAAATTTTTTGCCCAAAAAAACCAACCTGGTGGCCTTCTTGCCCACATAAATCGTGTTCATCTGAATCCCTCCGATTCCAGTCCCAGCGGTCCCACTATAATTTCCCATCGCTGTCGAAATATCAATGTCAGGAATGCGAAAGTTGGGATGGGTTTTCAGACAGAAGCACACGATGGAAATGACGACGAAGATGATGTTGACGACGGAAATGACCTGCAAAAAATGAAAAACTCTAATTTGTCATTAGAGCGCAGTTGCATCTGGACTTTCAAACGACTCGGTGGACAATGGACTTGTTGATAGAGAAAAAATATTAATGAAGCGTTTGGTAAAATCTCTTCCGCAAAATGAAAAAAGTGAAAATGTTAGTGATAATTATTTTCGAAAAAAAATATTTTGCAGAGAATTTTTTATGGCAGCCAAATTGGACATGCAAAGACACCCCTAAACGTGGACAACTAGTGAAAAGCAGCTCGTTTTTTTTCCGAGAGAAAAACTAAATGACACACATTTAGAAAACGTAAAAATAATGGATCTTTATGCAAAAATATATTGGGGCCGTTTGGAGGCGGGGCGAAGGGCAAAAAAATAGAAAGTTCAGAAATAGACGAAGACCCGTATAAATATATGACACAGGAAAATAGATTGTGGAAGAAAAATTTTTCTGGAAGAGGAAAAAGTTAGGCCATCAATTTCGATGCGGAATTGTCGTGCATCGGCGGTCCACCATTTGCATTTTTGAAGTTTGTGGGTGGCTGATTGAAGGTGGCCGATGAGCTCTTCTTTCGATGCTTTCCGTGGTGTTGTTTCACGCCGAGGAGAGCTGGCTTCACTTCGTGTGCCTTTAAAATTGGTTGGGTTACTGTACTTTTGCAGTGGGGCGCGGTTTATTCATTTAGGCGATGACCTCTCCGCCTGTTCCCTTTTCCGGGCGCGGCCGCGAGATGTATACGCCCTCCCCTTCCTCGCACTGCGAGGTCGGCGGTGGCGCAGTGGCTAACGCTCCCGTTTTATAAATTTGCTACCCCGGTTCAACCCCCGCTGAGGTCAAATATTTTTTTTTTATTTTTCTAAAACGTTCTGGAAGTTTTGTGGAAGTATCCTGTAACTCTCAAGCTGATCCTAAGCCCCCCCCCTCTTCTAGCGCAGCAGCTAGAAGGGCGCGCATGTATACGCCCTCCTCACCCTTCTCTGCGTTGCACTGCTATGGCGCAGTGGCTAACGCGCTCGTTTTGGAAATTTGCTACCCGGGTTCAATCCCCAATGGGGTCGAATCTTTTTTTTTTTTCAAAGCCTTGAGGAGCATATCCTCGATCCTAAACAAGCCCCGCCCCTTCGTTACCTGCAACACCCTCCTCCTCTTCTTCGGCAGCTTGGCTCTCGCCTGTGAATGAGAGTACAAATTCGAAAAATTTGATACAATAACCGGGACTGGCAGGGCAATTGTCAGTACACCCATCAAGGCACACAGGGATCCGACCAGCATTCCCAGATAGGTCTTGGGTACCATATCACCAAAACCCACAGTGGAGATTGTCACCAGGCTCCTGGAAAAAATTCAGGGGTGCCCTTCTGTTAGAGTTAAGACACCTACCACCACAGCCCTAAAGGGATACTCGTAAACTGATTGTCTTTGTTGAGTTGGCTCCGCTCTGCGTAATAAACGAGAGCCGCGAAAATGACAATAGCCAGCACCACGAAGAACACGAGGAGGAATAGTTCTTGAGCAGAGGCCTGGAAATCAAAATTTCTCTAATAGAAGGGCACCTAACAATCATACCTTGAAAGTCTGAATCAAAATCTTCAATCCAGAAAAATGCTGCGTCAATTTGAACAGCCTCAGCACACAAATCATTGATAAAAAGTCCAGTGTTACCAGGGATCCTACAAATTTTTTTTCAAACTTTTTCTTGGTGCAAACGCGCTCCACCGAACTAACCTGTCTGGATAAGGATCGCGTGGAGGAGCGACTCGAAAAAGAATGCTCCGGTGGAGATGACATCAATGATTGTCAATGGAGACCTCACGAATTTGTGGAATGACGGGCAGAAGAGGCTTCTGATGAGCTGAAAAAAAAATTGTCAATGGAGCGAATTTGCTGTCGAAGGCTTACCAGCTCAATGACGAACCAAATATTACAGATGAGGTCCACATAGAAAAAATTGGGGTGTGGAGACGTCACCGGTTTGTCGGTGCCAATGGTTTTGTGATAGTTTTTGAAGCCGCCTTCATCCACCACGCGGAGTGAGTAGAAAACTGGAACAAAAGTCACTGTAAACGCCCGGAGAAAAGGGGGAGAAGCGCGCAGTCGTATCAATGCCCTCCGCGCCTTTTCTGTTTGGCGCGTCGTGGCGCAGCAGGTAGCGCGCTTGTCTATGAATCTGCCATCGCGGGTTCGACCCCCACCCGGGTCAAAATTTTTTTTCTTTTTTTCCCAACCCACAACTCACCGTCAATATCAGGAATCTGGAAACTTGGATCCGTTTTCAGGATGAATGAGCATGTGGAGGCAAGAATGAAAGCTACGGAGATGAATGAAATCACCTGAATACCTTTTGTTTTTGATTCCGGGGCAAAAACCAGAATCAAGGGAAAAATCGAGAAGAATATAGGGAGAAAGGAGGAGAAGTCAAGGTGTATATAGTTTCGAGAAACAAAAAAAAAGGAACTAACTAAGATAGGGTATTAGTACACACATGCAGTTTGGGTTGAGTTTTTTTTTGTTTGACGTGCAACATTTGGGGTTAGTCACTCGTTAGGTAACAGAAGTGTTTCTCTCCGACATTTACATGAAACTAACCCTCGCGTATTTCGAACTCCATGGCTCATCGAACAGGGCCCATACTCGAGGTTTTAGTCGCTGCCATTGGGACATGTTGCCGGTGTAGTAGTCATCCTCCCAGCCGAACTTTTTTGCTATCTGGAAGATTTTTGTAGGTTTTTTTGTCTATCTTGGTGTCTGAATGGCCGGATGTCTGTATGTATGTCTGTCCAGGTATCCTAATTTCTGGATGTCCAGGTTTCCAAATGTCCGTCTCTATGGATGTCTGTATGTGTGTCTGTATGTCTATATGTCTGTCAGTTTGTCTATCTTGGTGTCTGAATGGCCGGATGTCTGTCTATCATTCTGTTCAGATATCCAGATGTCCATCGGGATGTCATGGAATGAAAGTGTCTGTCCAGATATCTGCTTGTCCGGATGTCTGTTTACCGGCATTCTCAAACTTCCAGAAGCCTGTCTGTCTGTCCAGATGTCTGAATCTCCGGGTATCCGAATGTCTGAATTCCCGGGTGTCGGAATGCCTGTCTGTCCAGTTGTCTGTTTGTCCGGGCATCCGTCTTCCTCCATTCCCTGGTTCTGTCTGTCTGTGTTTCTGTATGTCTATATGTCTGTCTGTTTGTCTAACTTGATGTCCGGATGGCCGGATGCCTGTCTTTCTGTCTGTCCAGATATCCAGATGTCCGAACGCCTGACTGTCCAAATATCTGTCTGTCTGTCCAGATATCCAGATGTCTGTCCGGAGGTCCCGGAGTCGAAACGTCTGTCCGGATGCCTGTTCGTCCGAATGTCCGGATTCATTATCATTTCCAGATTTCTAGTCTGTCTGCCCAGATATCCGGATATCTGGATTTCCGGGTGTAGAAATGTCTGCCTGTCTGTCTGTCTGTCTATCTGTCTGTCTGTCTATCTGTCTGTCTGTACATCCTCCTGTCTGTCTGTCTGTCTGTCTGTCTGTCTGTCTGCTTGTTTGTCTGTCCATCTGTCTGTCTTTCTGTCTGTCTGTCTGTCTGTCTGTCTGTCTGTCTATCTGTCTATCTGTCTGTCCATCTGTCTGTCTGCCTGTCTGTCCATCTGTCTATCCATCTGTCCGTACCTCTTCCTGTGTGGGCGGATCACCATCTAAATCCAGTGACTCAATGACTGCCAGGGTGTCCTGTGTGTCTCTGTGCTGTGTGTACGTCATCCAACAACATGGTTCCACCTGCAATTATCTCTTGTTTTTTCCAGACCCAATTACGAAAAGCCATCATAATTCTATTTTCGTCTCTTCATAATTGTTTTTTTCTCGAAAAAAGAATGGAAAAGAAAACTCACTTGATTAGCGTCGAGTCCCCAAAACTCGAGTTCTTCCTCGAATAATGGACCACAGACGTTGGTCGGGTAATGGAGTTTTCCTGGAAGAAGAAGAATTGGGAGATGGCCTAGATTTTCGGGTGTTGGGAAATTAGGCCACTAGCTGGGTGGCCTAGTTTTTCCGAAAGGGTGGCCTAGAAAACTCAAAACTAGCTAGGTGGCCTAGTTTTTCAAAAAGGTGGCCTAGAACCCCAAAACTTGTTTGATGGCCTAGTTTTTCCAAATGGGCGGATAGTGAAGCCAGGCCACAAGGACTAGCCGGATGACCTAGTTTTTCCATAAAAAAAACTTGTTTGGTGGCCTAGTTTTCTCAAAAGGTGGCCTAGAAATCCAAAATCTAGCTGGATGGCCTAGTTTTCCTAATGGGATGGCCTAGAAACCTCGAAACTAGCTAGATGGCGTAGATTTTCCAAATGGTGGCCTAAAACCTCCAAATCTCGTTCTATTGGCCTAGCTTTTTCCTATGCCACCTAGGCCACCAACTTCAGTCCCCCAACTCCACTTACCTGTCCTATAATAATTCAAAATCATTGAAAACACGCCAGGATGTCGATCAAAAAAGTATTCATTGAGCACCGGATCATAATTCGCCAAGTTCGGAGTCAGTCTGGACAGTCGTGTGGCGGGAATCTTCTTGAGAACGTGACTGTAGGTTTCGTGTCGGATGCCGCCCACGTTCAGGATCACCCGATGTTCTGTGTCCATCCAGGACTGAAATAAGGGAGAGAGTTAGGGCTGGAAGGGGTCCGGGGGTACTGTACCCAGATTGTGTGAGGGTTACTGTAGTTTTGATGTCAGTTTTAGGATTTTTTGTAATTTTCCCCCCGGTGGGCACTAATTTTGAGATTTTCAAATGTTAAAAAAATTTACAGGTAGATCAAAAAATTCCCTATCGATTGGTATAAAAATCCTATAGGTCAGCGTCAGCAAATGATGCTCAATAGCGGAAAAACTTGGATTTTTTCCAATTTTCGACCCATTTTTCAGGTACAATACTATATGATATTTATACCAAACGATAGAGAATTTTTTGATCTACCTGCTCGTTTTATTCGTATCAAGCTAGGCAAATTTTTCAGACTTAGATCCACAAAAAATGAAAAAAATTTGTCCCAAAAGATTTCTGAGACTTCAAAAAAAAAAACTTGAAACTCTTTCCCGTTTCATTCTATTTTGTTGCCAAAAAACCGGAAACGAACTTGGTGACTCGAGTTGAAAAAGAAGGTGTCAAAGGTCAAGGAAAAAGGGTCTAGTTTTTGGATTTTTGGGATTCAAAATTCGAAAAGGTCAGAAATTCCGAATAAAAATTCTCCAAAAAAGTCAAACTTTTGAAAATCCGGAATTCGGGATTCTAGAATCTATGCTCCAGAATCTATTTTCCTGGAAATAGGGAATCCAAGAATTCATAATCTTGAAAAATCCAAGACCATACGTCCGCAATCTGACGTGCCGGTGTCAGGGGGGGGGGGGGGGGGTGTTTGCAGACTTGGCGCCATATCTTACGACAGTTCCTTACGACAGGTCAAAAATGTCGAAAAAATCTAGGAATTGCTCAGAATAAATTCTACCTAGGATAGTTTGACTGAAAAGGCTAAAATTGGCTCCAAGTGCTCCAAAAAAGCAAGCTTCAGGACCAATCCGACGTGATAGTGTTTGCAGACCCTGCACCCTATCCTACGACAATTCAGTTTTCATGACTCAAGGTATCCTAGGGCCTAGGATCCATGATCCTAGACCCTAGGACCAATAGTCTGCAATCTACCCTGACGGTGTTCACAGACTTTGCACCCTATCCTACGACAATTCAGATTTTGCAAACAAGTACAAGCACCAATTTATAAAATCATTGACCAAAGGGAGGCTCCGCCCCCTTTCACCATTGCAAGTGACAGATACTCCCCTATAAAGTTTTGAGCACACCAAGCAAGGGAAAAAAAGGAGAGAAATGACTGAGAGAGCAAGGACATTTTTTGATATATGTGTATGCACACACACACAGGAAGTCGCCAATAAGCATACATTTTTAGATGGATGGGGTCGAAGGAGGGACCTTTCGTATTTCTTGGAGGGAGGGGGGGGGCATGTTGGTATCCGTTCGTAAGATTATCCCTGTGAGGGGGGTCCGTTGGGAAAACTTTTTCAGGGAAAAAAACAGGGCAGAAAAAACACAAAAGAGTAAAATAGCTTTAAAAAAAGAGGAATGGTTCAGGTGGTCTGCAAGTTGACGTGACGGTGTCAGTTGGGGGTGTTCGCAGACTCGACACCATATTTTACGACAATCTGGTTTTTTTTTCAGCAAATCGAGCTAGGTAGAATTAGTTGAGAAACGAGTGAAAATCAGCCCAGAACAGTCAAAAAAGACCAGAAATCTGGCAATTGCTCAGAACAAACTGGGAGATTTCGGAAGCAAATTTTCGAAACGGAAGCTGTCTGGAATAGCTAAAGGCTTGCTCGAAAATAAGTCGAAAGGCTTGTAAAACCGCAAAAAAATCAGAGTTTTTAAGCTAAAAATGACCAGAAGTTGACCAGAAAATCGGGTATTGCTCAGAATAAAAATGGTAATTCTGGAACCCTCTCTGTTTGGCAGAATTGGACTGTAACAGAGTAAAAATGACCGAAAATAGTCCTTAGTTCAAATTTTTGGACCAAAAAAAGGACGGAAACAAATTAGACCCACGGAAAAAAAAATACCACGGAATTGCTCAGAATAAAATTTTTTGACTTTTTTTTTTTGAAATTTTTGTGTCCAGGCGGTCTGAAATTGGCTAAAATCCGAATTCGTAGATCAAAATCTGCCTTAAATCAGGAATTGCTCAGAATAAAATGACAGTTTTCAGGTATTGTTTTTTGTTAGCTCAGGCCGACCGGAATAGCTTGAATACAGCTAGGCTGAGCTTGAAATTGCTCAAAACGGTCTAAAATTGTGCAAAAAACGGTCGAAAATGGTTCACAACACGGCATTGCTCAGATTAAAATCAGTAGTTTCGAAACTAATTTTTCCAGATTATAGGCATTATAGGAGAGCTTGAAGACGGCTAAAAAAAGGGTTCAAAAGTCCAAACGACGGGAAATGAGAAAAGCTGACAGCAAGAACTAACCTTCTAGCGCTCGGGAACGGATTTGACCGATTCTAGGGCGTTGTTTACAATCTACCGTGCTGGCGTCAACTGTAAGGTGTTTGCAGACTTGACACCAGATTTTACGACAGTTAGACTTAAGTTCAAGGGGTCTAGCGATTCCAGGCGAGCTAGCCGGACTTCAGTAATCGAGTTTTCGTGC